TGGAGAGCATCCCTGCTCCTGAGAATTGCCTGGCACACAGGTAAGCTCCTCCCTTTGGTTTTCCTCCAGCTTGGACACTGGTGTGGGGACAGTTGGCTCTTCAACAGGCTGAAATACTGGAGAAGACTTGGGTTTGGTAAATACAGGCAGCACGGAGGAGGTATCAGGAGGTAAAACTTTCTTGACATCTGCTGCTGTAGATGATTTTCCACACCCCCCCGTACCCCTTTCTGCCCCTGCCTGGGTATTGCCATGCCAGCTGCCCTCAGCTGCAGCCTCTGCCCCCTCCCCAGCTGCAGCCCCTCCCCCCTCCCCAGAGAGAGGTGCCTGCCGCTTGTGGAGGGGGCACTGTGGTTAGCATTCCCCCACCCCAACTCCTCTTGGGTTTATTTATTGCACGATCATAAGTTATTTTCACGTCCTCTTTGCCATTCCGCCTCTCGGCACAGCCAGGATGTTGGTACAGAGCCGTACTTTATATTTTATATATGCAAATCACATTTTATCTTATACTTATATAGAGCAAAAAAAAAAACTTATTTATTTTCTGACTTACAGTATGTGTCCTACCCAACTCCTCTGTATTTTGTAGACTTTACAAATAAAGCAAGTTCTTTTTTTTTTTTTTTTTATCACAGCCAGTGTGTGTTTGGCCATTCTTTAACTTCAGGACAGAGCTGTATCTCAGACCAGATTTTCTAGCTCCCTCTAGCTTTGCTCCAGGACATGTTCAAGACCGAGCTGATGACTTTTCAGAACATAGATTTATACTCTCTGGGAGAAAAGGGCTCAGTAAGCAAGCTTAATGCTGAACATCGCTCCCCAAAGCACTTGCTTTCAGGAGCTCTGCTGAATCAGCTTTTCTTAAGAAAGCTAATGCTTTTCACTAGAAAAAAAAATAAAATCCCTTGAGGCTGCCCTCAGACCTGGCATGATACAAGAGGCAGGTGTAATCAGGGCAGCCCTACCCAAAAAAATTCCCTGCCTAGTCACCTCACTGCCTGACTCAGGAACAGTGAGGAGGAAAGCAGAGAGCTCACCTCCATGGGTGGCAGGGGAAGGAAGAGTGGCAGGCGCCTTACCCAGAGGTGAAGCCCAACCTCCTCCCCTTGGGGAAAAGCCACCCTTCCTCAGAGGCAAGGTGGAAGCGATGAGGATGTTGCCCTGACACCCAGGCAGGCCAGGTCCGAGTCTCATGGCAGCACTCACAGGGTCATTCTGGGCTCTGTGTTCAGGTTCCCTCTGTCACTGCAAACTGCTCCAGATCACGGAAGAAAAGCCCAGAGCAGCTGTTTGCTAGAGCCTGTGTTGGAGAAAGCAGCCCCCTTTCGCCCACAGGTATTTCACACTGAGCCCCCACAATCAGGATTCATCTCCACTCCAGGATTTTGACAATTGGGTTCTGCTCCTGCCTTGGGCCATCAGTGATGTCCTGGCTCCAGGCTGCTGTAGTGCTGCTCCTTCATCAGCTCCTGCACAAACAGATGGTGTGAAGGTTTCCTCCTGAGAAGAGGACAAGACCCACTGACCCACTAAGCCTTGGCTCCTGCAAGGACCAAAAACTCCAGTTCAGAGAAGTCACCCAGACACAGCTTAAGTACAATCTATATTATCTCTATATTTTTATTTGTCATCATATTTGCTCATTTCTGCAGAGTATAACGTCACAAAGATCAAAATAGAGAGAGCGGCTTGTCGCTGAGCTCACATCAGTTAAACACAATAGGTACAAAACTAGGTGACTCTGTCTTATTTATCATACATTTTTTGTTCAGTCATTTATGTACAAAGAACTACTCTATATGGAAAAATAATAAACAAATCCCATGGGTATGTTACATGGTAAACAAAAAGGAAGGAAGGAAGGAGAGGGGAAGCAGGTAAGGGGGAGAGAAGCTCCAAGGGCCTGCTTCTGGAACCAACACGATTGTTGGGGCCCTGGGCTACCACGAGTAGACCTGCAAGACCATGGATGCCTTGGCCTCCTCGGTTTCAAGCTCTGGGTCTAAACATATTCGTTTCTTCAAGCCAGAGCGGCTTCAGAGCCAGTCCTTGCTCTGCCACTTGCTTGTCACAAGGGAGAACAGGAAGCCCAGAGATGGCTTTGTGTGGTGTTAAAAACATATACGTATACAAAACTATAATGCATGGCAGCTGGCTGTTTGGGCGCTAGTTCTTCACCGGGCTTCTCCGAAGGCAGCTAGTGCAAAAGGGTTATACTTGAAACCACTACAGACAGGAAGCTTTGAGAATATCCAGATCCTCTGCACAGCATATATATACGCAGCACACATTTCAAAATATATTTATTTTTTTTAAAAAAATGCTTCCCCAAGCCTGGACCACCTTCAAGCTCAATAGGGCAATTCCAGAGATTTCAGATCTCAGCCACCCAACATAACAGAGGTTGGGGACAGTCACCAGTTAAGCAACACTGGGGCATCATCAAGGCCTACAAACGCAAAGAAAAGGGACGGAAGGGAGCATGTCCCATACGCCGCTTTCCTAAGAGAGAAGGGAAGTTTAACATAAATGCTTCGCACTAAAGGACTATTAATCAAAGCCATGGAAGATGGAAGGAAAGCCCACTCAATCTTCAGCCCTGCTATCCAGGCAGCTTATGGCATGAGGAAAAGGGGTTTTAGACAAAGCCCACAAAAAGCCTGGCACACAGCATTTGCATGTCCATTTAACCAGCAACAGATTTAGGAAATGCAGTGACTTAACCGCACAGCATTACAGACGGGGAAATCCAGCAGCAGAGAAGATGCTGGATCCACCGACCCCATCTCCAGTTCCCTCAGGAGTCAGCGTGGTTGCTTCCCACCTGCTTCACCATCGCCCCAGACGAGCGTGTACAGAAGGAGACACTGTCCTTAAGACCTTCCCTACCTTACCTTCACAGCAGGGAGCAAACCTCTCTTCAAGCCTGTCTCCCCACACTCCTGGCAGGCGTGCCAAGGAAATGAGGTGCTCTTCGCTCACAGTCGCTTCTGAGAAAGTGCATGAGCAAGCACACAGACGACGATATAAGAGGAAAAGGTGAACTCCAGGCAGCAAACCAAACCCCAGTTCTCCTAACAGTGCACCAAGGGGCAACCTGGAAACACGCAGGTCTGCTGATGGCAGAGTCGGCATCCAGCAGGAGAGAAACAGAGAAACTACAACCAAGAACAACACAGCAGCTCGCTCCAATCTCTCCATTTTGCTTCCTGCCTGGGAGTAGGGGCATCTGATCTGTAGCACTTGGGTATACCCCTGCTCTTCCTCTAGATGATTTTAAGCAAGTAAGAAGCATTTCCTGGTCCCTGGCTAGATCTATAGAGGGATCATTTTTATTTTGGTTCCACTACATATCTAGAAGCCAATCCAAAACCCAATGAAAGCAAGGGGAATTTTCTTTTCCTGCCCCCATGGACGCCGGCTCCACCCTTGACAGCACCGCACTTGCTGCAGGGCCTGCAAAATGTGCAGCTGCAGCAGCAACTGCTGCCTAGGAAACTAAGAGGGACACTTTAAGCCAGCCAGGTCATGTCAGGTTTCAAGTCTGCTCCAGTTTGGCCCAGACAAGCTGTGGAGATAAAAAGCAAAGGAGGAGTGTACAACATCCCTTCCTGAATACTCTCAGCCTAAGGGCAAAATTTGTGCAGCTCGAGGGAAGTCAGTGATGACAAGCAAAGGGAGAGCTTCCTGTGAGAGACCAGGACCTGCTCTGACAGCTACCTGGTACAATCCACACCTTTAAGAGGGGCAGCTTATATCAGTGCGGGATTGGAAGCCAGAAGAAAAAAAAAAAAAAAAAAAAAAACTTTTAGTGTTTACACATCCTCCTTTCCCAAAGAGGAATGAAAAGGCCAGAGTTCTTTCCACCACTGATCATGGCCAGTCCTCAGTCTTTTTTAGCAGGACACAGACACTCCAGAGATGCTTTTTGCCACAGGAACACAGGGTAGATGGGAAGCTTGGACACCTGGTGATCAGAAAACCCCACCCTTGTGAGGCAGTAATTCCATCCCTGCTGAGCTTCCCCAAGCATCAACTTCAATGGGGAGCAGGGGGGGGATGCAGGGATTGGAGGAACAGGAAGGAAATCCTGTTCTTGTCCCCCTCGCTCACTCAAGCACAGGACTGCACAACTAGGTGCTTAGGAGGGTGGGGGCAGATGTTCCTTACCAAGCATTCAAGGCAATGGCTATAGAGAGATCGGTCTCTGGTCTGGTCCTCAGGAATGCTTTTCGCTGCATCCCAATCCTGTGTTTCGCAAGGATCACAGAGGTGTTAGTACCAGGGAGCAGGGGGAGAAAACTGTGCCTACATCAACCACTCGGGAAGAGGAATACAAAGCAGTTGGGCTGTCCAGTTAGGAAAATTAAAAAAAAAAAAAAAAGAAAAACAGCAAAAACATTTTTGGCCACAACTCCAGGCTCTGACCAGTCACGCTCCACACCAAGCTGGGCAGGTGTGGAAGGCCAGAGCCCCAAACCTTGGAGCTTTACTTCAGTTAATTCTAGTCCATTGTTGCTCTAAGGAATGGGCTCAAGAATGGAGTCCTGGCCATTCCCACACTTCTGCACCGCTCATCATGTCCGTACCCACAGAAGCAAATGGGAACTGCCCACTTCTGCAATTAGCACTCTCTAGAAAGTGATATGACTTGCATGTTTCTGCTTCAATAAATTAAAAAAGAATAACAAATTTTTAAAAAAGAAAAACAAAAGAAGGAGAATTACAGCCTCTGCTGGCAGTGTGCCCTCCTAGAATTCATCATCGGAGCTCAGCAGAAGGGTCTTTTCATTGTCACGGGCACCCGAGCAGCTGTGGGAGCGCGAGATAACGTGACTGCCGTTGCGCCAGGGTGGACCATGCTCCAGTGTCGACTGCTGCGTGTACTGCTGGTAGGCCGGGGAGAAGTTGTGGATCGCGTCTTGGACAATGTCATGGGGGTTCATGGTCTCCTTGAGGCTGCTGGAGATGCTTTTCATGGGAGCACAGCGACCTGTTGGGGTAAGATGGGGAGAAACAAGTGAAGAATACTGCTGTCATCCCCCATACCCCTTAACACAAAGGTGAGGAGAACAGGGAACATGCACTCTTAGATCTTGCAGAAGTTACTCTTCAGACTTCCTTAAGCAGCTGCAAGGAAATGCCACACAAATGGTGTAAGTTTTACCAGTAGCGCTCCTAGATTCAGCCAAATGAATCCACCTCAGCACCAAATGGGGGACATGTCCTGAGAACGGGACATATTCACAGCGACAATCTCAACTGCACGCTACCCTGTGCTGGCTTGGATGTATGACAGGTAGGGAGGTGCTCCTGCAAAGGGTTTCACAAGAGAAGAACTAAGGAAATTGGAAATAAATACAGGAGAAATGGCATTTGCCATTCCCACTTGCTGGAAATTAGACTGTATCGAAGTACCCACAGGAAAGAGATCATACAAGCAGAGAGCAATGCAAAGGAGGGGAAGGAGGAGAGCAGGCAGTGCTCAGGCAGAACCACCCCATGGATGGAGGGTGTCACAGTCATGCTTTGAGGGAATCGAATGCTGGAGATTGTCCCAGCTGAGCAGACAGGAAGGCTGTGTGCCCTTCTAGAGGCTGCTAGTCCTCATGGCTTCTAGGTCCCATTTCCAGCGCGGGCTTCTGGCTCTGCTCAGTTCTGGAGACGAGCTCCTCAAATGACCAAAGCACAGCTGATCATCTGTGGCAGTCATGAAAGTGAAGAAAGGAAGCGATGACAGCAAACCAGCTCTTTAGAGAGCCTGTGCAGCCACTTGGAGAGATGCGCACAGCTGTGACAGAAATGCTCTAAAGCCAGGAGTTTTGCCACTGCCCACGGGGCTGTTCTACAATTTACAATCGAGACAACCCTCAAGCAGCTGTGTGAGGCAGTCGAGTTAGGAACCTACGAGGAAGGAGGGACAGGGCAGGCACTAAGCAGACTGAGAATCAGGACAGGACAACATCCCAGTTAAAAACCAACAGAGACAAACACACAGAGCATGCTGTACCTACCGTACGGCCCATATGATGGAACAGCTGCATCAGGGACCAGTGGCCAAAGCAAGGGAGAGATAAAAGGGAGAGGAGAGAGAGAGACAGAGAAAGAAAGGGAGAAAAAGAGAGAGGAAATAACAAGAACTGAACAAGACCCACCACCAAAACATTACCCACTGTACTGGCCAGCAATTTACCCTTTTGTTACCCACACATTTCATCTTCCCCGGCTACAGCCACTGTGCTTCCAAAACCTCTGGGCCTGGCTGGAATGGAGGCACCCTCCTTTGGCAGGGGGGTTGGACCAGATGATCTTTCGAGGTCCCTTCCAATCCCCAGCATTCTGTGATTCTGTCTTCCCACACCTCAGCACAGACTCCCCCCAGCAGGAAGTAACCCCTTTACTTGGGAGAACACCAAATGTACTGGCATAGGTGGGCCATGAGAATCCCCTTTTCTCAGACATAACATCCACCTCCCTCTTCTAGCAGCCCAGTCCTCACGAAGTCTTTACAGGAAGATCCTCCCTCTCCAAGCCAAACATATTGCCAAAGCGCAGCCTCACCTTCTGGAGGCAGATTCAAAACAGAGCCTGTTCCAGGCCCTGTCCCTCCTGCCTTCATTCTGTTGCACAATCTGGAGCACTGGAGTTCCCCTTTGGGGAGACAGGAAGGAGGATAAACCCACTCTACCAAAAAGATGCAACCTCTTGCAGCCCTCAGGCCTGCAGCAAGCTCTTGTGGGTGGCATACTGGGGAACCGAAAAGGGAACAACGCAATTCAGGCAAGGCTTCTGCCCTGCAGAACCATTGCACAATTAATCTGTTCAGACATCACAGAGGAGGAGATGTGATGTTTTTCCAAGCACTCAGGTTGGGAGTCATATCAGTGTGTTGGTTGCTAGAGGGACCAGTCTCCACCCAGTCTCGCTACAAAACAGACACGCCATACGCACCAGAACATTTCCTACCTTGGGCGTCGAGTCTCTTGTCCGCATACACCTTGTATGTGAAGGCATGGCGCAGGGCGATGGCTGCAAAGAACATCTCCACGCAAATGATAAAATCCTGATACCCAGCAGCTACAGTGCCTTCACCCACAGACACGTTGGCGGAGTGGATTTTGGGGATGGCACCACACTTTTCCAAGATGGCCAACAGCATCCCTAAACAAAGCAGCAAGCACATGTAAATGTGCAGAAAACATAACTGCGTACTAACAGTACGGAGTGGAAATAGCTGTCTGCGCTCTATGTTCTAGACACAAACCCATTTAACACAGGAGCAGGCTAGATACTCCCATCTATGCTCACCTGTACAAAAGGAGGAATAAATGAGACGAACATGCCTAAGCGAACAACATTCAGACACAGATCCAATTCTGTTCTCAATTGACACCTAATCTGTGGAACTAGATGCTGCAGGACTTCAGTCCAAGAAGAGTAAGAAGCAGTCAGATATTCCTGTGAGTGCTTCTATGATCTCAGCACTTCCACTATTAGAGTGAAAATCAAGGTAGTAGACCTTTTAATTTAAGCATAAAGTGTTTTTGACACACCACTGCAAGACAGGTATATCTCCCTGTCCTTAGTCAAGTGGCTGAAGAATTCCAGAGAGGGCAGAAAGTGTGTACCCAGATGGCTCAAGATAATAAACTAGACAGCTTATTAGTTTGTCTGTAGACAAGGAGGATAGACCATACTTTAAGAGTCTCAATTCCACCTAAGTTCCTACTCAATTACTCTTTGAAGTGCAACTCGGTAAACTTAAGTAGGGCATTGAAGGGGGAAATGCTTAGAGCCAATTAGTAAGAAGCACTAGGCTTAGGTAGAATTTTGGCTTTCTGAATGTGCCTCTGCATCACGTGCACATATTCTGAATGCCCTTCCGCTTGGCGGTGGTTCTGTTCAGCCAGTTTGCTGCTTCACATGAATCACAGACACACCATTGGAACTTTATTTATAGAGCGTTAAAAAAAAAAAGTACTAGAATTTTTTTTAGATGTGTCACTGTAATCAATGAAATGGCAGCACGCAGACAAAACGTTGGTAGCTTGGACTTTATATCTGTTCCAGGAATGCAAAGGCCTCTTCAGCCAAACAGCTGATTTTGCCAGGCAGATGCATTTGCGCACGTGTGCGTGCACAGGGATAGTGAGGATTCAGGAGCATAGAAACAAAGACAAAAACGAGCAAAACAGGTTTCCCAGAAAAAAAAGCAATGAAAGAATCATCACAGAATCATAGAATGGTCTAGGCTGGAAGGGACCTTAGAGATCATTTTAATCCAGCCTCCCTGTCGCCAGGGATGCCACCTCTCAACTAGAGACTATAAACCAAAACCAGTAATAATAGAGAAAAACACTCTGGCATCTGCTCTATCAACATCTGCTCTATCAGCATCTGTTCTATCAACTCTAGAGCCCAAGTCCCTGCAGAGAGCTCTTTGTGCCCACCAAGGGAAGGGAAAAGCAGCTCACCTTGCCAGAAGGAGAGGAAGATGACAGACTTCACCATGAAGAACTTGAGGACTGGGCTGTAGGGACTGAGCAGCTCACGTGTGGCAAAGTAGAAAAGGAAGAGGGCGTACAGTGCCAGGCTGACAGAGATGTTGTAGATGATCGTCACATAGAGGTAGCCACTGGTTACACTGAAAAGAGAAGATATGTGAATGACTGGAATTTCGGGATGATCTTTCCTCCTTGTCTCTGTCATTGGGGTTCTAAGGTTCTAAGACTCTATTTCCTTCCTGCCTCCTTCTCCCATTTGTCCCATTCCCTCCTCCAAACCAAGGAAGAAAAAACCTGAAATCAACAGGTTTTTCCCCTGCCCTCTTCTCTCACAAGCATATTCAGCCCATGTTGTCCTCTTATCTCTTGCCATGGCCCAGCACACACAGTGGACACAGAAGAGGCAGACAAGGCACACTGGACTAGACAAACAGACTTACTCAAAGTCACCATCCTGGTACTTGCCGAAGGCCTGAAGGATGACTGTGCTGATCGCCATGAGGGGCTTCACCACACAGAACTGCAGGGTGGCCTACAGGAATGAGAAGACGAATGAAAAGACAGAAGGTCCAAGAGGCCAAGTTCCCAACAGTCACCACAGCAGTGTCTCCACCACGACAGCGTAGCGGTGCAACACAACCCAGCCCCAACAAGAAGCCTGACCCCACAGCTTGCTAATCAACTGTGCCTGAGGACTGCAGCACCCAACAGGAGATAAAGAAGATTCAGAAGAAGTATGTGTGCTATCTACTTGTCCAGGATGAGATGAAAACCTCCTTGGAGGAGCTCAGCTGCACTGTTCCAGAGCTGTCTTTCACAGGCCATGCTGCAGCACATTTACACATGGCAATGGCCTGAGCTAAAAATAATCCAACGCTGTGTTATGGTACGGACACAGTAAGTTTAACAGAGGGATACCAGGGAGGTGGTGGAGTCACCAACCCTGGAGGTGTTTAAAAAAAAAGTAGATCTAGCACTTGAGGCTATGGTGTAGTGGTTAGGTATGCTGGGATGAAGGTTGGACTAGATGATCTTCAGAGGTCCCTTCCAACCCCTAACATTCTGTGATTCTGTGAAAGCGAACTCCAGTCCACAGTTGCCACAAAGCCAGGCAAGATGGTCCCCTGGATAGGAGGGGAACCCAGCTCTCCAAGGAGGAACCGCCACCGTATTAAGGCATTTTGTATATACACCAACGTGTGCTGCCAGGCAGAAATTAAGAGCTACGTAATGTCTTTGTCAGCAACGTGGACAGTGTGACTGAGTGCACCCTCAGCAAGTTTGACAATAACATCAAGCTGTGTGGTGCGGTCAACGCGCTGGAGGGAAGGGATGCCATCGAGAGGGACCCTGACAGACTCGAGAGGTGGGTCGTTGCAAACTTCATGAAGTTCAACAAGGCCAAGTGCAAGGGCCTGCGCATGGGTTGGGGCAATCCCAAGCATAGATACAGGCTTAGCGACACGTGGATTGAAAACAACCCTGTGGAGAAGGACTTGGGGGTGCTGGTGGATGAAAAACTGAATACAAGTCAGCAATGTGCTCTCGCAGCCCAGAAAGCCAATTGCATCCTGGGCTGCATCAAAAGAAGTGTGGGCAGCAGGTAAAAAGGAGGTGGTTCTGCCCCTCTGCTCTGCTTTCTGAGACCCGACCTGCAGTACCATGTTCAGCTCTGGGGATTTCAGTGGCTTTATGGCAACATGGACCTGCTAGAGAGGTTCCAGAGGAGGACCACACGGATGATCAGGGGGCTGTAGCACCTCCCCAGTGAAGACAGGCTGAGGGAGTTGGGATTTTTCAGCCTGGAGAAGTCTCTGGGGAGAACTTATAGCAGCCTTCCAGGGCCTACAAGAAAGAAGGGGAGGGACTCTCTATCACAGAATGTAGTGATAAGATGAGGGGTAACAGTTTTAAACTCAAAGAAGGTAGATTTAGGTTAGAAATCAGAAAGAAGTTCTTTACTGTGAGGGTGGTTTGACACTGGAACAGGTTGCCCAGGGAAGCTGCGGGTGGCTCCTCCCTGGAAATGTTCAAGGCCAGGCTGGATGGGGCTTTGAGCAACCTGGTCTAGTGGGAGATGTCCCTGCCCATGGCAGGGGGTTGGAACTAGATGATCTTTTAAGTTCCCTTCCAACTCAAACCATTCTGTGATTCTTTGATTCTATTCAGTTGTCACCCATGTGACCTTTATTGAATTTCCCAAAAGGCTTCATAGCACTTGGAATCAGCTCTATGCATTCTGTCAGCTCCTATTGGGACTCCACCTCTCTCAAAGCAATTCCATGCTTCATCTTTCTGGAAACACTGAACTCCAAGGTCCTAGGACAGCAGAGGTTTGTGACCCTAAAAATGGCATCCACGTCTCCCTAAAGAAGGCTGGAAGAGCCTGGGCAGGTGTTGACCTGTGCGCACGTGGAGAGGGCTGTGTATGGAAAGATGGCAAAACCAAACAGGAATAATTGCTTTGGATACGATGCAATTTGTTAGTGGTCATAAGACTTCAAGGAGATTAAAAACCCCAGCACATGCCAGTTAGTGAGTCACTGTAAATATGTGAACGGGAAAAGGTCAAGCTAATTCGTAAACAACACTGTCCTCTGAGCTTCCCCTCCTTTCAATCTGGGTATGTTTTAACCATTTCCCTGCAACCAAACCACCACGTCCTATTTTTAGTTGCTTTCCTAAAAGATGCCACAGCATACAGGAAGCACATGGATGGTGTGTGACCCATCTGTGATGGTCACCAGACACAGACCCAGCAAAGAATTATTGATCAAGACATCTTTAGGGAAATTTGCTGTTCGGATTTTACGCTGCAGCCACCAGCACACCCCCCCGACAGCTGGAGGTCCACAGGCCACGCAGGCAGACTGACAAAGCCACAGCAGGCACCTACCTGAGAACAGCTTGGGGTGGGGTAAAAATGGAAATGGTTCTAACACACAGATTCCTTTCAGGATGAGAGGGGTTGGAAAAAGCAGAAAACGGGCACGTGGTGGCAGGAGGAAACAGGAGTGCTGGAGATGCTAAGCACAGGGATAAAATTAGCAAGGTGCTCCTTCCAGTACATTCCTCTACCTGAGCATCACAATGGTGGATACTGCAGAGATCAGCACTAAGATGTGCTCTGTTGCCCTTATGTACCAGCCTTCCCAGGAATTTGTCTTGAAAGGTCTTACTTGGCAATTCTGGAGGTGCAGAAGTACCAGAAAGTGAGTCTTGGGGTCAAAGACTTCTCAACAAGGCAACATTTAAGCTCGAGACAAGACAGACAGAAGTATTGAAACATCCCTTTGCAAGACACCTCTTTGACAGCCTCCATAGCAAACTTAGCAATTTGCAAAGGGCAGGCCTGACCAGAAGAACTGCTGCCAGACAGCAGCAAAGGAGAAGCAGAATATCCACCTAAGCCAGAGTTACCAAATGAGGTGAGGATTTGTGGAAGCCAGCAGAACCACCCCATCACCCTCCCAAAAAATAGCTTCTAGTCTTCATAGGTGTGAAAAACTTTGCAAACACAGCCACATGCAACCCCTGTGGAGATAACTGCCAGAGGCTGTAGGACATGAAAAACAAGAGGTCTAAGAGAAATTATCTCTCCAGCACTCATTCACCTTGATGGGTGTTATATCTGCCTATGACATACTTAAAAGGTAAAAGTTAACATTAGGACTAAAAAGAATAGGTAACATATCAAACCAAAGAGCGTACAAGTGAAGCCCTAGAGAAAAAGGCAAAGCAGCATACTGGGAGCCGATTAGAAAATAAAGCATCAAGGAAGAAAACAGGAGAGCTGTGAGGACAGAATACGGGGCAAACAGAACAGAGAAAAGAAAGATGTGGTCCTTTGAAAAAGCTTAACGCTGGATATTACTACGAGGCTGCATTGTACCTTTGATGTTCCTGTGTCTTGCTAAAACAGAAGAAGATGGGTCATGACATGGAAAAGAAGCCAGGGCAGATATCTAGACCCAGTGACTGGAATTACAATGACCTGAGACCTTTCAAAGAACCAGACCTGCTTCACGCTGTCTCCAGAGAAACCTCATGTGTTCATTTCACAGCAAGTGCGCAAAGCCTTGAAACTCACCTGCTGTTTCACGGCAGCCAGAGGTGACTGACCTGAGATGAGCAGACAAGGGGTGTATCGAGGCTTAAATCTCCCCCTTTCCCTCCCCCTCAACATACCCAGTTCAGCACAGACAGACACCCGTGGTGAGCAATACTCGGTTCCTCCTACAAACCATTGTGTCACACTTAACCTCCACCCCCTCTCCTCAACTCCAAACCACAGCAGCAGCACTGGGAATTTAGGAGGCTGTTACACAACTGTGGAGTGTCTGCCACACAGTACAGCCATCGATTTCTCAAAGTTGGGACCTCTGCAGACCAGAAAGGTAAGAGGAAATCAGAATTTCTTCACAGGGCTAACAGCAGATCCAGGACAACTGGGTCTTTTGCTAAAGCCTTCCTGGTTCAGAGTTGAATAGAAAATTTTAAGATCATTCAAAACAAAGAAACCTCAAAACACTCCTTCTTCTCAGCAGTCTGCAGGTCTCTCAAAATGATATTACAAACCTCCTCAAAAGAGTGCTCATCTCAGAAGTTCAGCAACAAAAGGCACCACTGGCACCCTTCACTCACTTTCGGAGGATGACATGGTTCCTGCAGCCCATACCTGTTTGCAGAACCTCAGGAATCCAATTGAATAGGTCTTTCCCCACAGGCAGCAAGTCCCATATACACAGCTGGACCTGAAAGGACCGACACAAGATGACACAGTTCAGAGGCAAGATTTGTGTTACAGTGCAAGATTCCTGCCCTCTTTGTCTATCTCTCTGCAGCAAAGTTGCAGGACTGGTGCTTTCTCCAACCATGATTACAGCTACAGCCACCACCTCTTTCAGAGATGTATTTAAAAACAGCCTGACTCCACAGTCCAATCTTTTTCTTTTTTTTTTTTTTAAACTGAATATCATGGGGAGAAACATACATCTTGGAGGAAGCACACACAATCAACAACGAAAGAAAATACTTAAAGGAGGAGAAGGGAATAAGAAAAGAAACAAAGGAGAAGGCAGATGTCCTGAAAAGCTGTGAATCAGGCCAGCTTGCCTAAGAGGACGTGGTCAGCCTGATCTGTCTCGGGGCAGGGTACTGGTAAATCACCACCATCCATGGTGCCTAGTCCCAGCAGACATTTGCCACCTGACACAGTTTTTCAGTGCAGGGTTAGAAGCACGGTAGATGGGGAGAGGAGGAGAGCGTCACGCTGTAAGCACAATACTTACTCAATTGGCTTCCCTCTGATCTCGGACATGATGGAGCTCTCCCCTCCCAAGTACTCATAGCAGAGGCTGAGGAAGTTGTATATTACAAAGGCTGCAAAGACATCAATCAGAGCAAAATGACAACCGACTTCAAAACAGGTGCAAGGACCAGGAGTACAGGCAACAGACCAAACATTAGCAGGGACTGCTTATGCAGCATCTTTACCTTCAAAGCACTCTAGATTATTTTCACTGCATTTATCATCAGACCTCAGCACTCACAAGACTACCTGACCTGGAGTTTGGCCAAGGTCCCAGGCTCGTTCCATGACTTGTGCCAAAAGGGTCACAGGACCATGTAGAACTGCGGTCAGTCTCTGTTTTACTTGGCATCTGTAAGATGCCATTCTTCACAGGGTTCCTGTGCATTATTCCAGGACATTACATTGGTAAGAAATAATTTGGAAAAGTTACCTCTGATCCATCAACCACCTCTTATCTCCTATATTTAACCTTTCAGGTAATGAACACAGTTTCCCTCTCTGAGGTAACCAGAACACAGACATAATACTTAGAGAAACAGAGGATTTACCAATCAGTGAAACTCTGTTTTCGTATCTGGTGGAGGTTTTTGAAAAACAGGCTCTGTGCTTCATTTCCTCAGAAAGTTTAAATTTCTGGCTTTATAGCCTTCTCCTTGGGCCATCTATTTTCTGCCTTTCTCAGCAGCCTGGTGCAGATGTGGAAAAGCCTTCTCAGATCAACAGCTAATACTCCACCCCATTTCAATTCTCTTCAAGGCTCAGTTTTGTTGATCATATAAACTGAGGGGAAGACACTGTGGGGAGGGGCTCTTACCCTAACTACAGATACATTTCATTTTCACAGGATCCAAACCCACTTAATTGTGCATGGAGTAAGCCTCTATATGCTCTGTCTGCCACTCTCCTGACTTGTTATCATCACTGGTGGACCCTCATACAGTTGAGATTTTTAGTGCAAGGACTTTACCCCTGTGTTTGCCACATACAGCTTTGGGGCAAAATGACAGACCAGGTAACCCTTCTCTTAACATTATTCTCCATGATAGTTGGTACCTGGACATTCCCTCGAATGCCAGCACCCAAATCCTTGTTTTGGCCCCCAGCATCGACAGACTACAAAGAAAATAACTTGGGATGGAAACAGAAGTTTCGAGGAACTTGGAAAGAAGAACAAAAGCCTATTAGAGTGTTGAGAAGCTGACCTCACCAAGCAGCTAGTTATTAGACCTGAGGTCAATCTTCCCACATGGATGAACTTCCCAAGTCAGAGACAGACACCAATTCCAATTCTTTGACAAGCATCCAAACTATGCCCTGGAAAAGAGGTACTTGACACTCCCCAAAACATTCATAGTCTCAGAACAATATATTTATGGTTTGTAGATGTGCCTAGCTGGCAAGAATGCTACAGCACATAAAAGCCAGCAGTATACCTGCTTCTAGGTATGTAATTGGGGTATTGTTATTCCATCTGTAATCCTTGTTATTTAACAAAGTTACGTCTGTTCACCAGCAATGATTTTGTGAAAGCCTTAATTAGAAGGGAAAACACCAAGCATGGAAAACTTAAATAAGTAACCGTGGTAACTCCTTTTGCCTACAATTTTCCTACAACTCAGCTGACAGCTCCCAGCACCCAGAGGAAGAAAAGCTGAGCTTTTCCTATTGTCCTCCAGTGACCCCTGCCCTCTGATGTGGTCATTACAATAGCAGCTGCCCATTCCATAAGCACTAGGGAAGAGATGACATCAGAGGAAGAAAACAAAGCAAAGAAAAAAAAAAGGGGGGGGGAGGAAGAAATATCTGCCCCTTCTTCCCCAAAAGAAACGAGTGCTAACTACCAAAGCTCACCCTGCCAGCAAAAGAACTCTTTTCCCATTCCTGATCCATATTCATCAGATGGTGCTCATGACATCAGTATAATAATAAAGAAAAAAATCTACTTGTGTCAGTGTTACCAATTCCCCGGTTTGTACAGAAGCAGAGTCACACAAAAGAGCAACGTCTAAACATCTTTCTCCTAACATACACTGTGAAACGAAGCCCATAAACAGCCCAATACTGCTTTCAATATTTATTATCTCCCTCCTTTCCCCAACAGAGCAGAGCTCCTCCCCACTTCACATCCTAAAACCTTCCAAAAAAAGAAAGGGTCAGGTGGATGACAAGGAAGGGAAAAGAACAAAAAGGCCGTCTCAGGGTGATCCCTAGAAAAAGCGAAGGAGAAAACCTGCTGACCTGCTTTCACCTCCACCTGTAGCCTTCTCACACAGCCCAACGTGCCGAGGTGAACTCTGGAGCACGGGCTGCCTCTCAAGCAGACGCTCAGATATTTGCAAGCCCCCTGAGCAAGCAAGGCAGAGGGATACTGGCTGTTGCTAGGAGAAGAGCTCTGCAGAGCAGCAGGCTTCCTGCTAGACCTACACATTCATGCAGGGTGGAAAAGGAGGAAAAAAAAAAAAAAAAAAAGGCCCGAACAAAGATGCCTTCCAAATCACGTGTGTGTATTTGCCATCTGCTGCTGCATCTCCAAGCATTGTTGTGGATGTGAAGGAGGGCCTGCCGGCCCCTTCAGCTGATTGACTCGTTTGCGCGGCCGGGGGCACGTCTCTGCAATGCAGATCTCGCCAAAACAACTGCACCAACGCATTATGATTTAATGAGGATATGGTGATAAACTGTCCTCAAAACCACACTGCTCGAGTACTGCAGTTTCTCCTGCTGGGTGGGTAGAGGTTTCTTTCTGGATGAGATCAGGAGGGATGCTTAGACAGCTTTTATTGCAGAGTTCCCCTCGCGTACAACACATACACACGTCCCTAACAAACTGCACCAGGAAAACAGGACAAAGAAAGCATCTGGCTGCTGAGTAAGCGCTGTTAGAAGATCCAGGAGCTAACTGATACCTCACTTTATTACAGTCTGTTAGAATCAGATTTTTGACTTTATAACTTCCTGAAGCAAAGGACCCATAAAAATCATAAACTTCACCTCTACAGAACAATGTAGGGAAGGCTCAGCACATCCTGTCATGCTCAGAGGCCAGTAATGATGAAGGTCAGGTTGGATGGGACTTTGGGTAACGTATTCTAGTGAAAGAAGTCTCTGTCCATGGCAGGGGTGTTGCATGAGATGATCGTTAAAGGTCCTTCCCAACCCAAACCATCCTATGACTTTCATTCACTGAGCAAGCCATGGCCATTCCATGAGGCAGACTGTAAAACTTCGGTCTCAGTAGATGACAACGATGCCCTCTCCCTGTTCACAACCAGAAGGAAAATTTCTTGGGGCAGAAACTTCCCACTTGCCCCATTTTCTATCTGACCCCTCCTTACCTTCATAGCAGTCCCGCACTGTGCCAAAGTAAACATAGTACTGGTCATTGGTGAAGAACAGGAGGCTGAGCCATGAGTCAAAGGCATAAATGGGCACAATGAAGAGGATCCGAACGATGTAGCGCTGTTCGTTTGGGCAGCTGTAGCAGCGAAGATGCATGTAGATCTGAGAGGACAGAGAGGGGAGACCAGGATCAGTGGTACGTGGAGTAGAGAGGAGAAAGCAGAACTGGAGAGTCAGTTGCACCAGGAAAAACAAACTCAGCAAATCACCTCTTGATTGCCTCCAACAGCCTCAAGGTGATGAATATTTATTTAAAAAATTTTTTAAAAATCACTTATCATATGACATTGGGATAGTATTCCTTAGTCTGCAGAAAAGGGGAAGGAAGAAGAAAAGGAAATTGAGGCATTTCTAACCTAGTTTTCTATAGAGATTAGTTTACTGTTGTCACTCATATTCTTTTCTTCGTTCATTTTTTTCCAGTTACCAGTCCTATATTCCTGCTACCCTATTTTAAGCACCTAAGATTCACAACACCGCGGGCTGCTTTTCTCTGAAGAGCGAAGGTGCACTTAAGCGCATGCTTACTGCAAACATTCCAAGACTCTTGGCAGTTCTGAATGTTTTTGAGGCTTTCACCTGGAACAACCTAAGAGAGCCCCTCACAGCACCGCCAAGAGCCAATAAGCCACAGCTCATCTGCTCAAAAAGTGTCATTCTGCACACAGGTGACAGCACAGCCACCAAGCATCAGCCATCAAGTGAGCTCATGCTCTGTGCTCAAAGGAACCACAGAGCCACACCACGTGCACACATGCCAATCCCTCTAACTCACTGGCAGGGGAGAGTTCAATGTCCCCACCCTACCCGCTCCCATCACTCACAGTTGGTTAGCTGTCATTAAATCTCACACCTAGAATGCTTTTTCATCGAATACCCATCTCCTGGGAAAGGTACTGACCACAAGAACACCCTTAAGATGAGCACCACTCCTGCAATGGCCTAATAACATGGCCAGAGCTTCGGTATGAGTTGTGGGTATGGTCCATCAACCATGGAGTCAGCAGAGCGCACGTTCTCCAGAGGCAAAGCCTCCATACAGAAACCTTCATCAAGCTGGTGCCCTAACTGCTAGAATTAATAACAGCCAGTTTATTACATATGTGCCTCACAAATGACTGATTTTGCTGCCTGAAGAGAGGCATGGGCGTTTGTCTGAAGCTTTACCCTGCATCTGGCAGTGCTGTGAAGATTCTCCAGGGTTTAACAAAGCCTACATTGATGATCTTGCCTTCCCCTCACAAGCAAGACGGGGGGGAAGTCTCTTCCTAGCTGTCTGTCACTCATCTCTTGGCCATATCTGGTCCAGATCAACTGAAGGGCCCAAAATACTTCCATTTCCTCTCCCTAACCCATGAGGAGCTCACAAAAGCCTCATTTCCTGACGAGAACAGGTTGAAAATTAACTAACAAACCTTAGGGATATTTTTTTCTTGCGATAATCCCAGTGATACACCTCATCCAGCACAGGGACAGCTGACACCAGAGTTCAGATGACTCCAAGCTTTGCCCTTGGGATGTCACAAGAGCCCTGTGATCCGTGCGCCTACAAGAGCACAGGAACTGCTGCCTTCTAACAGGACAACAGGGTATTTCAATCAACAGTGTCTCTCTGGCACTGACCTCCGTTGGTTTCTTCAGAGAAGGGCATTAATGTCTAACTGTTCAATGCTATACTGCAGAGGAAAGACTTCTTTCTGCCCTCAGTAAGCAAACAATTTGTGTTCCAAAACAGGAGAATCCATGGCACTTGTAATTGTTACCCAAGCTAGTGAAACTGCAGGTGTTACTGTTACTCATCAGTGACTAACCCATTTCTGAACTTCACTAGCTCCTGCACTCCAGCAGGCTGGAGTTTTCTAGATCCTAGTCATCATTCGGGAATCTACAGACCAACAGGTGCAAAACACAGGTTGATAAATAACAGGGCTTGCATTTCCCCCTCTGTGTTTTTCAGTCCACATGACAACCGTGCAAAAGAGAGGCACAGAACAGGATGCAGGGTTTGACTCGTTCTGGCTCCCAGGACATCCGCCTCAGAAAGAGGAGAGGGGATAAAAATTAAAATGAAACATTTCCTGCTACTCCTTTCCGCAGCGGAGTTCAGCCTGCAGAATCCACTGGCACAGGAGATCAAAGGAGGTATGTCAAACAACAGATAACCATGATCATTTATCTAACAGCTGACACAGTAATGAAAAGGCTAGATTCAGCTACAAGAGCAGGGAAAGGATGGCTTGAGATAACACATCGTTCTGCAAACACTCAAACGATGGACAAATGTTTTACACCTGCTAGTTTTAAAGAGTTTGCTTCCTCTCCATTCACAATGCAGAAACAATCTGAACCTGGGCAGAAAAAGGCCTTCCTATAAAAGCTGCCAGCTTGATCAGCACAGATAATATATCGGATCCCAAAGAAGAGGTCCTGGTACCTCTCCAGTGTCTGCAAACCTCCATGAGGCAGCTGTATCTGGCAGAGGTGGGCCAGGGGACCACCTGTGTTTCTCCACATGGGAAAAAGGAAAGAATGAGAAGGACGAGCAACAGGGTTTTACCTGATGGCAGGTGATGAGCAAAGCTGTCCATACAAAGAAACCTGAGATGGCCTGAGCAGCAGTGGTCATGAGGAATATGGGCTGCTCCACAGCTGTGGGGCTGCCGTCCTCCGGCATCCAGGAGAAGTTGGGAGCCACGGCTGGAGTGGTGGCAGCTGACCCCAATCCGGGGGCTGCAGTGACATCAGTCATCACTATCATGGTGCCTTTTGGGGTGAGGTTCCGCTTTGCGATTGCCAGAGAGCCACCCACGAGCCAAGACCTGTCAAGAAAGAAATACTGAAGAATCTGAAGAAACATTCGAAGAAATTTAACCCAGCTGAAAGGACTCGGGACCATAAAGGTAACAGTATTGCATCTCTCACATGCCTTTCACCGGGCTGCTCACATGTTTTATGGACAGGACCTGGGTAAGCCTGCCACTGCCACCCCTCGTGATACAACAGATCATGTGGTACTCAGGAACCTCTCTAGCACTCACAATACACCCTCCCTGAGATCATGAAAAACTGCCACCACCAGAGCCCCTTCTAGAACTAAAATATTTAAGAACAAGACAAATACAGATTTCACCTGAGATCAGAAGGAAATATCTAAATCATCCATGCTGGAAGATGATGGGCACACTTAGCTCTACTTCCCACAAAAGCACTGGGCATTGGCACAGGGCACTGCCGTGCCCTGAAAAGCCAGAGCCTTAGTTTTACAGTTTCACCTGGAGGGCAGCAGAATGAGCAGCAGCAGGTGACAAGAAGGTGCACCACAAAGCATCACGGCACGGCAAGGGGGAAAGAAGAGCATCCTGCAGCAAGCAATCTCCACCTCTCCTACTGTCATTTTGAAAACCATGCTCAGTCCAGAGCACCTTCACTGAAAGAATATGTGCTGAAAGCCCTCCTCAAAAGATGGCAAGTGATGCTTTTACCAAACATCATACAGCATGGTGCACTTAGCAAACCTGTCATTAGTTCTGCTAACTTAGCATTGCTTTCTACGTGACATGAAATTAACTTGATTGGCTTTTAAAAGCCAGTTGACCCATGAAAACACACCAAGAACACAAGGATATGTAAGATTTCAAAGCAGCATGACCCTTGGTCATTTCCGGGAAGAAATGCTATTTTCTTTCAATGGAACAAATTCTTGAAGGTCTAAGATCTAAAGCAGCTATTCTTTTCAATTTGGTTATAAGCAGGCTCTAACGTGACCTCTGGATTGGAGGAAGATAATCCACTTAAATCAAGATCACAAGCAGGCAGCCACTGGTTCTATCCCCTAGAAGAGCTGCTTCTGATGCTGTTGTAGTAAAGACATGGTTATCAAAGAGAAAAGCATAATATTTTCTCCGTCTGTAAAAGTGCAGGCCTTTAAGAGCAGCATATGGAAAGGGCTTTAGAAAGGCCATGGATCCATTGCCACATTTTACAGCTGCAGCAGGGAAGGACATGTCTGTCATCTACTGACTGGTCACAGCAGAACACCAAAGAGAACACACATCTGCAGATGAACTGCCTCTCCCTTGCTTCACTTGTAGCCCCAGCACAAACTGGGGACCAGGCACCCAGTAAAAGCAGAGGGCCAGGAGCACCTAATTTCCACATAGACACTAAAGTGTGCAAATGGCCCCTCTAGCACACGCTTTTCCAAAGAACACACTTGCACCATCAGTGCAATGCCACATAATTATGTGGTAAATGCCACATACTTATGCCACATTTCACCTCATTTCTGCTTTCTTCCATAGTGGGAAGAGAACAAATACAAACCCTGGGAAATATCTAGATTTGTTTAAGTAGATATTGTCTTACTGTAAAAGGAGATGCACAACAGTTATGGTTTAATTTACAAAATAATAGTCAAACTCAGCTTTTCTTTGCTCTTTCCAGTCCTACTTTTTTTCAAAATATCCCTGCTCTGAGTTACAGTTTTCCATAACTGCACACACTGAAGGACAACTCCTTTTCAATTCTGATCGGCACAGGAAATATAACGATTAGAGAGTTTCAAAGCATATACACACACATTACTTTATCCACACTATATCTAAAAATTTGGAAATGAAGACTGGACAGAGATGTCACAAGGTACCAAGGTTTTTATTGCTTTGAGAAGAAAGGGATTTCTACCCAAGTGACATCTGAAGGGACAGAACACTCACAGTTCTGACAGTGCTTCCACCAAGCGCACAAAGGGCACATCTAAAACGAAATCAGAGCAGATGCACCTGTGGTTAACCTACCTCTAAATAAAGTACAGCCAGCTGCAATCCTGCACATCCCAGGGCCCTCTGGGAGCTATGCAAGAGAGGAAGCTGCTAAGCCCTTCCTAAAGTTTACGGGCGAGAGGATATCTACTGCAGACCACCAGTGGCAAGAGGGACAGGAACCCAGAGCTCAGCGCTCCAGCTAATCAAACCGCAACAACAACACAGACCCAAATGCAGTGCCAGTAACGCCAACAGAACTGAAGATCTGAAAGGGAATTCTACTGCTTCTCCCTGGTCACTTTAAAAGAAGCTGAAACAGCAAAAAGTGATCAGCAAGCATTTTGATCTGACAAAGGTCGCGTATTCAGAAGCAAGGACACTTAGAAGTTCAAGTTGTATATGTAACCTTAACACTGCCCCCTTGTGATGACACATAAACTCTCATTAATTAACATGATTATGCATCATTCTTCACCTAATCCCCTTCAATTCACACAGTCATCGACACTAACAGCTCATTCCAGCACTGTGTTCTGAAAGAAAATATACAAACTTTCTTAACCAGGGCTCCACTTCTGCTAGCCCAAACCACCTCACCAAGAGTAGTTGCCCTGTTCCAACTTTTTTAATTGGTTGATACTTTTTATTGGTGTAAGCATCAGCCTGCAGTTTGCTAATGAAACACGAAGGAATACTGTACTCCTGAACCTGTAAAATTAACATACAACTTCCAAATTATCCCTTCTAATCTCCTGAAGTGCCACATGCCATTGCTACAGTGACAGGTATAAGCAGCGCACAAAGCTATTATGAAAGATTCTGGCACGCAAGAAGCTGAAGCTGTACGAGCAACTCTGTACTATATTTAAGAAACAGATAACAGCACAGACGACTGGAGCCTTAGCCAGGCAAGTGGATTTCAGCTCATTCACTACCACCAGCTCAGAGTCTGCAAGCTCCTCTTTTGCCTTGTTAAAAAGAGCATCATGAGGACAGGCTACAACTCTCTTAACAGGCCGTGTTTTCCGAGATGCCTCTTCCCCACCCTGGAACGGGATGCAAGCCCAGCACATCATCAGAAGAGGCATCCCGCAAAGGTGGTGCCTGGGAGCACGTCACGGCAGAGGCGCTCCCTCCACAAGCTACAGGTTGAACACCCCGGTGTGAGCAGCTTCCCTCTTCCCTGACACAGCAAATGTTGTGCTACTTGTTTGTTAGACACTCACCTCCATCACAGCCCACATCGGGGCCAAAACACAAACCATCCTGCTTCCTCTCGTGTCTGAGGAGTCAAAAAGCTCTTTCCAACAGGTGCAAAGCTATTTCATATTCACCTAGGTTTTCTCCATTCTCCCCCTCGGCTGCTCCAGCTGTGCAACGACCTGACAACGGTTAGGCTACTGACTGTGATCTCTCTTCTGTGCAATCCTCCGAGCTTGCTGCCTTTCTCTGTTGTTTCTTGCACATTTTAAGCTCCTTGGGACAACTGTCTTTTTGTTCTCTGCCTGCGCAATTCCCAGCACTGCGAGGTACCAAACCAAGAGGAAGTCACTTGACTTTACCATATGGCAGATCAGGGGCATTTAGAAACTTGAATTACCAACGCAATACAAACCAAACTCATCTAACGCACAATAAATTTTGAAGAGCTCCTGCCATGTCCTGTTTTCTCTGCCCATTTTTCACCTCCATCTCTTTGCTTCCATTTCAAGGGAGAATAAAGTCACTTGTACTTATTCTATATCAAAGGAAAACACTTCCAACACTTCTGTATTTCGCCCTTGAAGCTTTCCCCATCTCCAGCTGACTACCTTGCTCCCCCCGGAGGTAACCTGCAACATAGCACATCCCAAACAGGAACAGGAGAAGAGAGCCAGGAAAAACACCAAACTCTGGGAACATGCACACAGAAAAGTACATCTGGGTAAACACACAGGGCATGTGGACATGGGTGTAGGCATATTTCAGGAAGGCTGCAGGAAACCTGGATCAGCTGGTACGATTCCTGTATGTGGGCTACGTGAGCTTCGGGCAGTGTTAGGTCTGTGTGAGTTCTCTACCCAACAACCCCAAATACAGAAGGCAGAGATGACGCCCCCATGCCCAATGAGCTCTTATGTGTTCCTGCCCAAATGCCTTACACATTACACACACTAGAGCAAGACAGGGCATCAGCTTAAACACCGACCTAGAACCGGCTTAAACTTATCTAACAGATTTTCTGAAAGCACTTTAGGAGCATTAGGGTCTGCTCTCAATGCAAGGAGGAGAAAAGAATACAAAGCAAAGCATGTGCTATTTATATTGAGAAAACTTTCCAGATAAAAACTCAGAGATGCAGAACACTGATACTGAGACTCTGGCAGGGAAGGGCCTCCAACCTGCATGGGGACGAGTTGTACCAGAGACACCACACCAATGCAGAGCTAGTGGGCATGTGTCCCCAGGACCTGCACCCACAGGAAAAAACAACAGCAGCACAGCAATTCTCAATCAACAGTAGTCTTTTGGAGACAGAGGCCTTCTGTCTCTAACATTGATGTGGCAGCTCCTTCCACTGAAAATGAACTCAGAACAGTAAACAGTGGCATAAGCAAACCCAAACATTTTCATTTTTGGCTTGCATAAAGGCATGGAAAATGTTACCACCAGGGAGGAGCTATTTCTACATGAAGATAAACACAAATACATAAGCCTCATCTCTGACGCAATAAAAGCGGTATAAGAGGGAGGGAAGAAATGTTCAGGCGTGGTCCTTCAGTTTTAGGGGTACTTCTGAACACGTACGCAATCAGAGTGTCTAGTAAAGAAGGAGGGGGCTGCCTGCTCTAGGCAAGACCCGCTCCTTTGTGCTGCTGGCCACAGCGCGCTCACCTTCCCCAAGTATTGGTAGGAAAAGAACCTCAAACAACAAAGGACTCTGAAGCCATTCTCCACTATCTGCAAACACAATCTGCGTTTTTAAAATAGATCATCTCCTCTGAGGCTAAAAGTATTTCACTTCTAAACTGCTGAGAGAGCAAAGAATGATACACAAAGCTATCCCATGAAA